AGAGCCCTTAGAACACAGAGTGTCAAAGCTGGGAGGGCCCTTAGAACAGGGAATGTCAGAGATGGGAGAGCCCTTAGAAGCCAGAGGGTCCCGGCTGGGAGGGTCCTTAGAACATAGAATGTAAGAGCTAGGAGGAACCTTAGAATGTGGAATACTGGGTCTAAAAGACATTTGAGAACATAAAATGTGAGAATGTAGATTGTTAAAGCTGGAAGAGAATTGAGAGCACTGAATGACCGTTATAGACTGTTAGATCTGAAATCATCTTTGCAGACCATCTAGTGCAAGCCCTTCTTTTCAAGATGAGAAAAGAATCATCATAATAAGAGTAACTCGCATTTACGTAAGACTTTAAGGCTGCCAAGCACTTTCTATTATAGTAGCTCTTTTGATTCCCAAACCTGCATTTTGGGGCCCCGGACCTAGTTAGTGCCTGTTCCACTCCACCCAAGTGGCCAAACAGACACATCTCCTGCCCCTGTGGGCCATTCCTGTGCTCATGCTGGGAGCCTCACATCAGCCAGGTACATGGCAAGGCAGGGCATCACCTATAGTTGATGAGCAAGTTCCTTTTTCGAGCCCTTTTGGGAATGAGGTTTATATACTAGAGCTCCTAGGACCCTAGGGGATATGTCCCAGGAACATGTCCTATGGTGAAACAAAGATACCTCTGCCTTTTACTAGCTGTGTAACTTTGGATAAGTCATTTCCTCTCCTTTAGCCTCAGTTTCCTCCTCCGGAAAATGAGGTAATTGGTATAACTGATCTTGAAGGTCTCTAACAACTTTATAAATAATCAATCCTCTGTCCCCGTCTCCATTCCTTGTCTCTTCTTTCCCCACCCACCCCACTACATGATATCTCCAAATTCCAGCCCTCCTCTGGGAGCTCACTCCGGCCTTATGTCCTGTAGTGTAAGCAGGTCCAGCACTGATATCTCTAGAGCTTTAAACAAAGCTGGTAATGTGGAAAGAGGATGAGACTGGTCTCTCTTCTTTATGTTAATTTGCTCTTCCCTATGTTAATTTTCTCTCAGTCTGTCTCTGTCTTTCTCCCTCCATCCCTCCTTCTCCTTCTTCTTCTTCTCCCTCTCCCTCCTTCCCTCCCCCTTACATCCATTGTTTCTCTATCTCAGGTGGGGATGGGGGTGTATATGTCTTTCTCTTTCTCCCTCCTCTCTTTGCCTTTCTGTGTCTATGTTTCTATCTCTTGTCTTCCCATCTATGTGTTCATGTCTGTCTCTTTCTCTGTGTCTCAGTCTTTCTTTGATCCTCCCACTTTTAGTCTCTCTCTTCCTTTGTCTCCCCATCTGTCTCTATCTGTCTCTACATCTCTCCCCTGTGGTCCCTATGGAATCAGTGCAGTGGTGCCCCACACCAACAGCTGTGGGAGTCCTTCACCCATGGGCACGCCATCGCTCTCCAACAGTGAGTATCAGCTTCCTGGGCCTGCTTTGTCCAATAGCAAGCCAGGAACTGTAATTGATCTGGAGAAAAAAACTGCCACAAGCCTGAGTGTCAAGATTCTGTCAGAGCTGAAATGGGATTTCTTTACGTTTACCTTGGATGGACAGAGGCGTTTGTGGCCAGTACAGGACACTTAGAGTCATGTGTTCATTCACAGGCTGCGATTTAGATTTTATGTCAATGAGCCTTTGGGTTCCTCTTCAAATAGTCATTCTTTCTCTCTCTCTCTCTCCCTTTGTCTTTCTGTCTCTGTGTGTGTCTCTCTGTCTCTCTGTGTCTGTCTGTCTGTCTCCCTCTCTTCCTCTCTCCCTTGTTATTCCCTTTGGCTTCTTGTTTTTTGCCCTCTTCTTTTCCTTGCAGTCCACCCATCACGGCTATGAAGGTTATTCCCCTTTGGTCTATTTTTGCATGTGCACACACACACTTATACACACACACTCACTCATACTCTTCTTCATCTCCTTCCTCCAGTAACCCAAGGAGCACAGCGCTCTAACATTCTGTGTTCTAACATTCCAGATTCAAAGAACCCTTCTAGCTCTTTGACCCTATGTTCTAAGAGCCCTTCCAATGCCTACATTCTGCATGAAGAGACTTTGCAGTTCCAGCGTTCCATATTCCGTCATGCCTTGCCAGCTCTGGTCGGATTCAGTGTTCTATATTTGAAGAGCCCACATTCCATATTCTGAGATACCTGCCAGCTCTGCAATCCTGTATCCTAAGAGCCCTTCCAAGTTTCCTATTTGATGTCTCCTGGTGTAACACTGGAGGTGGGGAGACAGGTCAGTCTAAGAGTGAGCCAACTGACCCAGAGAGGAGGAGAGGAGGACATGGGTGGGGTAGGAGATGCAAGTTGGAATGCTCAGGGGGAGTGTGATGACCTCTTCCTTCGAGCTTATGTGCTTTTCCTAGAAATTTCTGCCCAGCCAGGGGTGGGAGAGGTGTCAGTGGGCAGGCGATCAGATGTCCCAGGAGGTCCCAGATGTTGCCTTCAGGAAGGGTGAAGGGAGAGCCAGTCAAGTCAGGGAAATTCTAGTGAAGAGAAAAGGTCATCTTTCCTCCTCCTTATGCCCTCCTCAATTATATCTGTAAGCTGGATGGGATCTTAAAGACTATTTGGTCCAGGTGTTAATAATCTGAGGTCCATTAATTAATTTTTTTTTATGTTTTGATAACTATTTCATATATTTGGTTTCCTTTGCAATCATATGTATTTTATTTTATGCACTTAATGCCATGACTGTGAGAAGGGGTCCCCAGGCTTTACCAAGCTGCCTGAGGGGTTTGCAAGACAAAAAAGGCTCAGAGTTTCTGCTTTGGTGAATCCTTCTTCATCTCACTTCTCCACTACCTTAGCCCGGGCCCTTACCACCAAACACCTGAACTCTCGCAACAGCTTGCTAATTGGACTTCTGGCATCCAGTTTCATCCCCCCCCCCCCCCCCCCAGCAATCCATCTTCCACACATCTGCCAAATTCATTTTTTCTAACACACAGTTCTAACCAGCTCACTCCTTTACTCAGGAATCTTCTGTCGCTCCCTATTCCCTCTAGGATAAAATGCTAGCCTTTCTGTTTAGCACATAAAGCGCCCTCCAGGGTCTCATGTCAGCCTTCCTTTCTGAACTCATTTTGAATTGCTAGGTATTTCAGTGGCTAGAGCAGTGGGCCTCCAGTCAAGAAAACCTGAGTTCCAATCTGGCCTCA